TTTTAAAGGTCCCATTGGGCGTGCCAAAAAATATATGTTGGCTTTTTTGGCTTTCGAAGGTTAATAATGTAATTTTAAGCGTGCCAGCAAGGATCAATAAGTCCTTACAAAAATTTTAATTGCCAACCAATTATCAAACGATTGTGTTGAAATTCTTTCAACCTCAATGAAGATAACTTTTACTGGTGGCTTTGCTTAGGAGAAAATTAAAGATATTGACAATAACAACAGATAAAAGCAGTTTCATGAACTAAATTTCACTAAATAGTAAGAACTTATAATGATACCCTCGCACTTCGCAGTCTCGAAGGGTTTTATAGCAATAGACTACTTGGAACTACTCTTAAGAATCGAAGTGCAGTATAGAAATTGAAGAACTACAAATGTAAAAACTAGAGAGAAAATATAAAGTAAATAACTGGTTTCTGTATTTGAGTCTGGCCCTCTTCTGTTAGCCTTCTCTTTTATTTATACCTTCTAATGGTAACCGTCGAAATGCCCTTCCACAATCACTGGTCATGGCCTTGAACAGTTTGTTTCTACTATGCCATTCTTATAGTTGGACTTCCCTCGTGAATTTGAATTTGAATTGTGAGTAACTGTTGGGTCACGTCACATTGCGCCTTCTAACTACTCCAATGCTGTACATATCCATTGTTACCAATATGAACTGCCACGTGTCTGTCGATGGTTGGAGATCTTCACTGATTCTCCAATTTACCCCTTATACTCTACGTGTCAGGCTGTGATAAGACTATACAAAATATATAGCCAACAAATATACAAAGTAAAATATATATTTCAATATAAAAGAGATAATAATATCATTTTTTTAGCTATACGAATTTTTGATGAAAAATTGGTCAAGTGTTATATGAATTAAAACTTTAAGAGAGCCCAGTGTAATTACGTCAAATTAGTGAAGCTTATTGTATTTTTCTTCAAACCTCAAGTCATATACGTAAATATTTAAAAATTGTGGGGACATCTCTCATCTGGGGGGCCTTACAGGAGCTAATGGGAGTCGCAAAGTTCCTAATACTATCATCAAACACAAGCAACCAAGAAGGCCCATTGTGATAAAGAGGTTGAAGAGAGGGACATTGAAAGTTTGAAATAACACCACTGTTGTATTGTTCCTCTGTGTGTAATTGTTTGATTTTATTGATTGTTTTGCAGTGTGAGTTTTTATGAATATTTTGATTTATGCCAAGAATTTTCATTCACATAGTCCAAGGCCTAATCTGACAGATTGAAATCTTTATTCAAATCCAAATACAGCACAAAACTGCCCATGAATAAGCCCCTGTATAAGACTCATGAATGAATGTCCTTCAGAGACTGTTAGATCAAATTAATTTGCTAGATTAAGATCTTTATTTATTTATTTATATTTTTTATGATGAAACTAATTCTGGACAGAACAAACAAGTTGCAGAACAGAAGAACTGCGGCTTCATTATACACGAACATGATGGTCATAACTCATACATAGTACTCTGTTGATCAACTATCAACCACACATTTAACATCATGACTAACAAATGAAATAAAAACAATAGTTCTGAATACATGCATATCATGGGAGTAAGATTGTCATCCTCTTTATTTACCCCGGGGAGATAATTGATGCAGTTTGGCTCAACAAATTATCACCTCCACCTTCAGAGATTGCTGCGCCACTCAACAGGACCTTTGGTCCATCTTCACGGCAGGAAGTTAAAAATAGTGCCATATAGTAATACCAGATACCCAGAATTTTACCCAAAAATATGAATGTGGTTCAGATTCATTCTCCACATGGACCACACAAATTCTGGGCAAAAAATTGGGCTTTCTGAGTAACCAGACTCACTGATTTAGTATAGTCTCTGGAAAATTGAGGTCGGTGAAGACGAATCCTTTAATTTGTCCAGCAGGAGTTTGCTGATAAGAGTTGGTACATTGAATAAGATCTACATTATGGCACAGGCACACGAATCTGAATCTTCATCATCAGAGTCACTATCATCACTGCAGGCACAGAAAGGAAATATGACTGAGATTTGGATAAAATGAGAAAAAGTTCAGTAAATTGTTCATTCAAATGACACGAATATTTCCATCTATAATTTCTCAGCGACAGGGAGGAACAAGATATACTATTTATTTTAACGATGAAAGGTCTACTGTTTATTCACTGCTTGACAACTGGCATAGTCCAGAAGGTGAAAGCCGTCTTCTGGTGATTCATGCAGCTATGTTTTTCTTGTAAGTTCTTGAAATGAAATGACATTGTGATGTTGCCATGTTTAGCATGCTTGCCATGAGGCTAATTGCTTAAGTGCTATAACTGCTTGAATGCTTGTCGATGAAGGCTTATTGCTTGAATTGGAATAATTTGAGTAATGTTTATATACGATTACTTTTTCAAGTGTACATATTTCGAAACAATTTTTCAAACAAACATGAATCAAGTGGTCCAATTTTGAAAATTTAGTCTATACTTGTGTGTGTGCATCACATAGTAATACTAACCTAATAAACCGGAATAAGAGCTTATAATGTACATAAGATTCATATCATGATTAGTAGAGGCCGATCTTTGATCGAGCGAGTGGGGGTGCTTAAAATCATTCATGACCTTCCCCTCTCATACCTAAGTGCCTGAGTCGGGAAAATTTTGGTGATGACGAACACGTGGCCTTTGGCACGAGTCATGGGTTTCCTAAATTTTTCCAAATCAAAATATTTAGGTGGCGACTCTGTATCTAACAAAGCAGTCCATTTTTGACAATTTGATTCAAAATCGATTTTTCAAAAGATTTGCCGGATTTGGACTCTTTGGTGTTTATCAATTTCACATTGCACTTGTGAGATTAGATTCAGAACCACAGGAGTCCGAACTGTAGGGTTTATTTCGAACTGCCGAAAGCGGGTAGGAAAAAAGCCAAGCTACAATGGGGAACAGGCATTGTTTCACTTCCAATTACAGGAATCCCATCCAACCCCCGAGGTGTAACTTCGAACATGGGATTAGTATATGTTCTGCCATTTCCTTGTGTTGATTCTACTCCACCAATATTTATGGCTTCGTTGGTAGGTATAAACATGTTTTGGCCTGTTGGCATTCTAAGAAAGGGCTCATACCATGATTGAGGCACTGGTACTGGTCTTTCAAGTGTTTGATTATTGGTTTGACCATTGTTTTGCCTATTTTTTTGTATAGGCTGTCTATTTCGAGCCAATTGTTACTGAAGCAGATTTATGTTTTCTTCAGCTTATCTAATGATGGGTGGTTGATATGTATGCATTCCATCCAAAAAGGATACTACCCACATCTCTATTATATACATTAACTATTGTCCCACAATATCCACTAAACCTCCCATTTGATTAACTAGTTGTGTGGATGAGATAGTCAAAGGGCCAACTTCTTGGCCTTGCCCAATATTCTGGACTTGGGTTGTATACCCTGAAGTAATGGTTTCTTCGACTAACTGTGGAGGATTGTTTGAAGCAGGCACATTTTCAGGATGTAGCCCAACATTTTTCTCTATATTAGCTCCTTCTACACATTCTTCGAGGTGGTCATTTTCTCTTCTTGCTCGATGTCTAGCCATTTTAAAGGTCCCATTGGGCGTGCCAAAAAATATATGTTGGCTTTTTTGGCTTTCGAAGGTTAATAATGTAATTTTAAGCATGCCAGCAAGGATCAATAAGTCCTTACAAAAATTTTAATTGCCAACCAATTATCAGACGATTATGTTGAAATTCTTTCAATCTCAATGAAGATGACTTTTACTGGTGGCTTTGCTTAGGAGAAAATTAAAGATATCGACAATAACAACAGATAAAAACAGTTTCATGAACTAAATTTCACTAAATAGTAAGAACTTATAATGATACCCTCGCACTTCGCAGTCTCGAAGGGTTTTATAGCAATAGACTACTTGGAACTACTCTTAAGAATCGAAATGCAGTATAGAAATTGAAGAACTAGAAATGTAAAAGCTAGAGAGAAAATATAAAGTAAATAACTGGTTTCGGTATTTGAGTCTGGCCCTCTTCTGTTAGCCTTCTCTTTTATTTATACCCTCTAATGGTAACCGTCGAAATGCCCTTCCACAATCACTGGTCATGGCCTTGAACAGTTTGTTTCTACTATGCCATTCTTATAGTTGGACTTCCCTCGTGAATTTGAATTTGAATTGTGAGTAACTGTTGGGCCACGTCACATTGCGCCTTCTAACTACTCCAATGCTGCACATATCCATTGTTACCAATATGAACTGCCACGTGTCTGTCGATGGTTGGAGATCTTCACTAATTCTCCAATTTACCCCTTATACTCTGATAAGACTATACAAAATATATAGCCAACAGATATACAAAGTAAACTATATATTTCAATATAAAAGAGATAATAATATCATTTTTTTAGCTATACGAATTTTTGATGAAAAATGGGTCAAGTGTTATATGAATTAAAACTTTAGGAGAGCCCAGTGTAATTATGTCAAATTAGTGAAGCTATTGTATTTTCTTCAAACCTCAAGTCATATACATAAATATTAAAAAATTGTGGGGACATCTCTCAGCTGGGGGGCCTTACAGGAGCTAATGGGAGTCGCAAAGTTCCTAATACTATCATCAAACACAAGCAACCAAGAAGGCCAATTGTGATAAAGAGGTTGAAGAGAGGGACATTGAAAGTTTGAAATAACACCACTGTTGTATTGTTCCTCTGTGTGTAATTGTTTGATTTTATTGATTGTTTTGCAGTGTGAGTTTTTATGAATATTTTGATTTATGCCAAGAATTTTCATTCACATAGTCCAAGGCCTAATATGACAGATTGAAATCTTTATTCAAATCCAAATACAGCACAAAACTGCCCATGAATAAGCCCCTGTATAAGACTCATGAATGAATGTCCTTCAGAGACTGTTAGATCAAATTAATTTGCTAGATTAAGATCTTTATTTATTTATTTATATTTTTTATGATGAAACTAATTCTGGACAGAACAAACAAGTTGCAGAACAGAAGAACTGCGGCTTCATTATACACGAACATGATGGTCATAACTCATACATAGTACTCTGTTGATCAACTATCAACCACACATTTAACATCATGACTAACAAATGAAATAAAAACAATAGTTCTGAATACATGCATATCATGGGAGTAAGATTGTCATCCTCTTTATTTACCCCGGGGAGATAATTGATGCAGTTTGGCTCAACAAATTATCACCTCCACCTTCAGAGATTGCTGCGCCACTCAACAGGACCTTTGGTCCATCTTCACGGCAGGAAGTTAAAAATAGTGCCATATAGTAATACCAGATACCCAGAATTTTACCCAAAAATATGAATGTGGTTCAGATTCATTCTCCACATGGACCACACAAATTCTGGGCAAAAAATTGGGCTTTCTGAGTAACCAGACTCACTGATTTAGTATAGTCTCTGGAAAATTGAGGTCGGTGAAGACGAATCCTTTAATTTGTCCAGCAGGAGTTTGCTGATAAGAGTTGGTACATTGAATAAGATCTACATTATGGCACAGGCACACGAATCTGAATCTTCATCATCAGAGTCACTATCATCACTGCAGGCACAGAAAGGAAATATGACTGAGATTTGGATAAAATGAGAAAAAGTTCAGTAAATTGTTCATTCAAATGACACGAATATTTCCATCTATAATTTCTCAGCGACAGGGAGGAACAAGATATACTATTTATTTTAACGATGAAAGGTCTACTGTTTATTCACTGCTTGACAACTGGCATAGTCCAGAAGGTGAAAGCCGTCTTCTGGTAATTCATGCAGCTATGTTTTTCTTGTAAGTTCTTGAAATGAAATGACATTGGCCACCTTCAGTATGGTTCGAAACAAAAAACCTATAAAAGCACTACGTCTTCTTGTTTCTTTTCTTTACAAAAGAGAGGAGCACATGTGCCTAGGAATGCATACTAGGAACCATAAGACACATCCCAACAACTCGTAAGTTCCTTATATATAATCTCATTTGAAGAAACTCATTTTTATACATTTGTTTGGCTCACCCCCAGAAAAAAGTCTAAATATCACAATGACCCATATTCTTCATTTCAGGTTTGTCCTTATGTTTTTGTGTTGGCAAGTATTTGAGATTTCATGATCATTCCTTATTTTTTTCTATTTGTGAATTTTGTTTGAATCTAAAGGAGGCCACTATGTATCAAAGGTTAGGCCAGTGACCCCATTAATGTGAACCAAACTAGGTGTGCTTTTAAAGGTCATGACGAAGCTAGTGCGATGGCAAGTCTTATCCACTCATAGCCTTGTGGCATCAGTTCAAGTCACATGAATTAGCCTATGCGCCAAAAAAATTAGGGTAAGCTTACCTACGTACTAACTCTCCCAGACCCTACTGTCAGCATGAGCTTGTGCATTGGGTACAATTTTGTTTTATTTTTTTCAAATTTTCAAGAAAGGTGTCAAAGATCATTTTTGTACATGACCAAATCATGTCAACTAGTAGTTACATTATATGATTTACTAACAAATTCAATTGATATGGATCTTTAAGACAAAATAAGATCCCAACAGTCAAAGCATGAGACCAGTAAATTCTTTGTTGTACATGAGCAAATCATGTCAACTAGTTGTTCTAAAATTTATGATTTACTAACAAATTCGAGTGATAAGAATCTTAAGACAAAATAAGTTTCAAATAGTCAAAGCATGAGACTATATATAAAAAGTTACATTAGAGAAATATCCAGAAGTCTTATTTCTTAATCTTGGTAGTCTAAACAAATATTTGAAGCATGAAGTTTCTTAAACTTGTTACTAATGCATTATCTTCACCTCCCATAATGATTATCTAACAACATTTTATTCTTGTTAACTTAGCCTTCTGAATAAAATTCCTATAAAATATAAACTATACGGCTTAGTTTGGTTTGGTATCCAATAAAAGTATAAACTACCAAAATCCTTGGGTACTTTCCTTTGTCTCACATCACTCTCCTTTGTAATTTGGCCTCAGTTTGGATCCTTATTTATCTCAGCATATTCAACTACCCTTCCCTCTTTTCTGTTTGTAAATCTAAATCCTTTTTCAATAACTTTAAATCTAAATCCTAAATAGGGAGAAGGAATGTTGGAGGATTTAAAATTGAAGAATCATAAAATAAAATAAAAACCCAGGTCCCCTAGTAGCACCTGCTATTGGATAATCAACCTCTCTTGCCATGGCTGTAGAGTTTCTTGATTTGCCTCCATCTCTAATAGGACTGGACTACGTTTCAGCAGATCGGAGTAGCGTTTCAATGAGTTTCAACCCACCCACCGACCTCTAAGAGGAGGGAGAAGTTGAACCTAACATTTTTTAGAACTCCTCAAATTGATGATGACCAACCAAGTTAGTGATAGCTGATGTTTGTACTCTTGAGTCTTGATGATGAAAGTCTTAACTCTATTTGCAACAAAGGATGCTTTTTTTGGTTGTAAGCTACATAACAATGCAACCCATTTACTCAGTTCCTATTTTCCCAAGAGGGCAAGGACACAATCTCTTCATCCCTAGGATCAATACTCGAAATTCTCAAGAGCTACTGGAATTGATGCTATAATAAACCCCAAAAAAAAGAAAAAAAATTATTGTAGATTCCTAGTTAATTCTTTAGTTGCAGAAAATGTAGCAGATTTGTTCTTCATGCCTTCAAGAGGAAACTATATAGTAGTTCCAGTTCATTATTAGGGCTAAATGCATCTAAGTGATAATATGCACCCACTTTCTGTAGCTGGTATTACTAATGTTGAGAACATGGTTAAGGAACAAAACTTTTCCATGCTGTGTTTCTCAATGTATAATGTGGTGAAATGTCCTGACTAGGATATCATTATTGCGATTCCTTGTAGCATTCTGTTCGGCTCGGCTGTGTGACAAATTTTTGTGCTATCAACGGCCTAAACTATAGTTAGCCAAACAGAATGTTTGTAGCTGAGACTGCTGGATACATAATAAAATTGCCAAAAAACCCTCTCCTTAAAAAATAACATTCAGATAATGACAACAATGGTAAAAAGATGAATCTAGAAAACTAATTCTTTCAAATGAAATACAGATCAATCATGTGAATCTTCAAGCAGTTGCAATTTGTGGAGCAATTGTGAAAAAGGCTTATTGCTTAAGTGACATAACAGCACTATTCATGTTTTCTAGGAGTTTTTCTCCCTTTTTGGGTGTGTGTGTACATGTGGCTATGCAAGACAAGAAAGGGATTTGAACCCATAACATCAAGGTTGAGAGATCGTGTAACTGTTGAACTCAAGGCCCGTGGTTCATAGTCCTAGGGCTTGTAACTGGACTAGTGGTACCGAACATGAAATAGATCATAAAATACAATGGTGAAGCATTAGAAGGGTTATATATGCCCCAAAACCTACACATAAATCTGAATGTCGATACACCACATTGAAGTTCTACTGCCTACATGGCCTGTTCATTAGACAATGGAAAATAAGAATGGTAGTAATCTTATAATGAGACAGCCACATTAACTAACCCTGGCAGTGGTTGTGAGGGAATTGATGATGACAAGGTTGCTCAAGTGTTGAAATAAGTCAACAGCCAACAATATCAGGGCTGGATTTAGATTATAGATTACAATGGACCTGATAGGTCCAATGGGCATGCACCGACAGTAACAATACTTCAATGACTTGATGGGTCAAGTCTGCTGGGGCCACAGAGTTCAATCTTCCTGCCCCATCCTCAATGACATCAAATTGACAACACTAAATTTTCAAGCTGAGGAGAACTATTAATAAGAGGTTATAAATAAAAATGTCTACTGACAATTTGCCACAGTACAAAAAGAAACTGCTTTCTAAAACCATCTGAAAGACGCTGCATTTTTTCTTTCTTTCTTTAGTATTTTTTAAGGTAGAAAGCAACAGAAAAACCATGAACTAACCAACAAAACCACAGAACTACTTTTACATCATTTTGAATGAAGTCCTAATCTTTCCTAATTGAAGATAGAACTTTGTAGTTTGTTCTTTAAATTCCACCAACTCAAGATGCAACTAGGTGTTTCTAATCCAGATGTGTTTTAAAGGCAAATGATCAGCATTCCAATTCATATAAAGCAAAACTAAAAGATTAGAAATTCTCATAACTTCACCTACATTATATGTAATCACATGAACTGCAACAATTTATTACCTTGGTTGGAATTCCAGTACCTCTGCAAGCTTGTTCCCATTTTTATCATTCCACTGCACTTTCAAGCGCGGCTTCCCCGACTTTTTCGACAACCCACCTCTCCGAGATGGCAACAAGGACTCTGTCTCGTTATCCTTTTCCGTCTCTCCATTCAATTCAACCTTTTCTGATTCTACACTAACCAGTGGCTTATTTATAGAGCCCTTTTTTACATTTTTATCCATTGATGACTATAGTTTCAGAATACTCAAACTTGAACAACAAATATATGCTTACAAAAACACATATACACACAAACACAAAGATTAATCTAATAATCAACTCCACTCCAGATCAAAGAAACTGAACAGTGAGCAATTGATGGAAAAGAAAATGTTTTATGAACAATCCCATTTCAAATCAAATTGTAAAATTATTTAAAAAATACAAGAATTAAGAAACCCTAATCCCAAATTTTCAAAAATTACATGAAAACCATCAATAACCCAACAAAGTCAACGCTCATTGGGACATAAATCATCCTTTGAAACAGCATTTCCTCAATAAAAATTAACAAACCCAACAATTATACACTAAGAAATACCATAAAAAAAACTCGAAACCCACCAAAAATTGGATAATTGTTCTGTCGGCAGATCGAAAATGCACCGAAAAAAACCGATTAAAATCGAAAATCTCTCATTTTCTGCGGCCAACAACAGATTTAACTAGTGTTGAGATCCAAAAAGTCTGAATCTTTATATGTAAGAAAAAGAAAACCCTAGAATTGATGTAATTGAAGAGGGAGAGAACGAGATCGAATAGCAGAGAGAGAGTAGCGAAGCTTGGTTACTTTGGTTTTGGGTACGTATATGTATGTATGTATGTATGTATATATGAGAGAGAGAGAGAGTAGACGGCGTAGATTGGTGGGAGTGAGTTGTCTTCTGGCGAAGGTTCGTTAATTTCGTCGTCAATCAACAGTTTCATTTGTTTGGTAAAGAAAGGAAAAATCATTGGTCTCTCTGTTCCATATTTTAACTTTTTTATAAAAACAAAAAAGAAGCTCTAGTTTATGCCCCAATTATATAAATTGACAAAAATATTATTCATGTGTCATCAAAGTTAAAAAGAAAAAAGCAAATTATTCCGACTTCCCTCAGAAGAGATCAGTATAATATTCTTTGATCATATGGTGTAAGAGAGTTAATTAATAATATTATCTATTTATATGACTAATTAATTATTGATGATTATATATGAATAAATATTTTAAGACAAATTGAATAAGGACCGAACTATTAATTCTAGATATATAGTCGTTTGATTATTTAATTAGAAAATATGTATATTTCATATTTATTTTCTCATAATATTAGATGTCTGTAAAAAGATAAATGTTTAATAGATTATTTTATTATTTTTTATTGTTTATTAAGTAATAGCAATACTAAATTTGCCTTAAATATTTTAATCTTTTTTGCTAGATTAAATTAAATAAAAATTTATTTATTTTTATTTTTTTTAATTAAATAAATATATTTTTTAAATTCAATAAATAAAGCATCAATAAAAATTTATGTTATTTTTAAAATAAAATTTTAAATAATTTATTTTTAACAAAATAAATATTAAATAATGAAATTAAATAAAATATCAACAAAAATTAAAAATAAAACATCTATAAAAACTTATTTAAAAAATAGAATAAATATATATCAATAAAAATTAAATAAATATATTTTATTTTATTTTTTAATTGAAATTTTTATATTTTATTTTATTTTATTTTACTAAATACAATACATAATGAAATCAAATACTTAAAGGACAAATATGTTATTTCACAACTTAATTCCATGAATTCCAATCCCATCATTTCTATCCCACATCTCCTAGGACATAATAGTCCAACATATATGGGATTAGTCCGGTGGAACTCCTAATCTGGCTTACAAATTTTCAACCAAGCAATGAACTCTATGGTGGATTGGATATGGAGTCCAATTCCCCCTCCAATCCTTCCAAACAAAAAGTGAAATTCAATATAATTATATCAAAGTTGTAAGACTTGTTGTATTTTCTTTAAATCTTAAGAGAAGTCTGTAATTTACCTAAAAAAAAAAGGTTATGTTTAGATAAAAATAATTTTTTAGAAAATGAGATAGTATATTTATTGTAAATCTCATTATTGGTAATAAAATCGATTTGTCAATGTTTTTTAATGTCATTCAAGTTTTTAGTTTAGTTGAGGATTTTTCTATTAAATAAAAATAAAAATTTCAATATTGTGATCCCGTTTTTTCCCCCTCTAAACTCCCTTATATAGAGGAATGTGGGATTATGATTAGAAGTGTGAGAATCAAATTCATGTTTAATTTGTATAGATAATAAAAAATCACCTTCTCATTTCAATTTGTTTAAAACTAAGAAATCATAGTGAGAACTCTAAATTAGATTCTCATTCTCCCTCAAAATAATCTTTAAAGAAATGGATGGCCTTATTTACAATTTTTTTGTCACTCCACTTATTAATTGTTACTTATGATATTGTCTCTTAAAAAACTAATATGAAAGTGATACGTGTTATTATTTCGACCAATAATTATCATTTTGAAATACTACTTATCCTTATTTCAAATTACTGAATAATTTTTTCTTATCTACTCCCACTTAATAAATTATTGACACGCCACATGAGATCAATATCCACTTTTGTTTTCTTTTGAGCTAAAAAATAAACAAGGAAAAATTACCATTCAATGAAAAGTGGGGCAATTATTTACTAAAGGGTGGCTATCTTCTTGGAGTGTAACTTTTGTTACTTATTTATTTATTTTTACGTATAAAGAGTTATACCCCACATATTTTGAATTATTTTTTTGATATATGCATTGATTTATAATTTTCAAAAAACGAATATACGTATTCATATAATAGAATATCCAAGAAGGTTTTTACAGGAACCACCACACACTCTAAAATGACTAGCCTAACCTTCAGGAAGTTAGAGAGAACTAGTGACAGTTTTGTTAGTTCATAAAAAATTAATCACGCAAAAATTAGGGTTGAGGTAGGGCTGCCAACAAAAAAAAGGGCTATTATTTTTTATGAATAAATATAGTAATTGTGTGTGTCAATTTTCGACCATACTGCCAATCAAGCAATCAGCTGGAGAACACGAATAGATTAAGCCTGAACGACCTGAAACAGAAAGAAGAGATTCCGGCGGTGGTTTGTTCATCTGGGACACTCCGACGATCAAGTCAGTTATCTCTTAAAGATAGTAAAAGTGCTTAACTCACTATTCAGAATATAAATTGCGTACCTTAGACCCATGGGGTGCCTCTCTTTTATAGCCAACTCAATCCTAGCCTCAATAGAAGCCTAGCTTCAATGAACTTCAGTTTAGCGCTTATCTTGGACTCTCCAATAGATAAAGATAAACTCCCTAAGAGTTTTATCCTTATCCAGGCTGAGGTCCTTCCTCATTCTAGGACTCTTGTCCCTTATCCGTTTATTCCGGACTCCGGTATTCTCGCAGATGACCTTGGCCTAGCAGAGATCATCTCAGCATCATAACTAGGACACGTGACACCTCGACTGACACTTTGGCGCCACCTTGGCCACGTGTCGTCATTCAAAATTCATGTCCCCACAACTGCCCCTTAGGTTCTATTACCTCGACATCCTGAGGTGATGGAACCTATATCTATACTTCCTTCTAGCACGTCGGCTATCACGACCTCATTCCGCTCCTAGTAGAATGGTGTCATGATGGCCAATAATCCGAGATTACTAAAGGCCAACTTACAAAGTCACACACAATCAGAGTATACACATGGGGCTTACATATGCGGAAGCAATAAATTTAAATCTAATTAGTCCATAAGAGCTGTGCATAGATTAAATGAAATGACATACATTTCAACATGGTTTACAACTTGAATGCAAATAAAATAAAGGTGCATGTTACATCTTGATCAAATGGCTTCTCAAGCCGAAATATACAAAAGACATGTAATACAAACTAAGAAGCATAATCTTCAAGATACTAGCCAAAAACATGAATCCGAAACATCTTGCAAAACACATCTAGGCGTCACCGCCTTCTTGCTCGTCACCTACATATATATAAGGAGATGGTGAGCTTGGATACTCAGTGAATGATATAATTAATAAAGGTTTGAATGAATGATATCCGAGTTCTTTATTAAAATAATACATATCATTGCTTGTATAAAATCAGGGGATGAACCAGGTTCATCTATCAAGTCTTTCAAAACTTCAAAGGATGCTTACTAGCATCAATATAATACAAGGGATGACATTCCAAACAAACCCACGCGATAAACCGTCGGTGGCAAGACAAATGAGATATCTCAAACAAGGGTACTAGTTGCATTATAGTCCCCTAGCACTAAGGACTTTTCAAGACAAACGCACTAGTTGCATTATAGTCCCCTAGCACTAAGGACTTTCCAAGAATGTCATCAAAACGAACATAATACTTGATACAAAAATTAGGGATAATCATTCATGCTTGAACAAACACTTTTCCAAAACGAAACAAGCAAAGCTTTTATCAAACGTTAGAACATAGCTTTATTAAAAATACCACTCACATAGCTCTTCGGGTGTGGGGATTACAAGCAAGGATCCAAGGCCTACAAGTACATAATAAATCCCATTGAATGCATTTCAAGAAGGCAAGAAGAGATGCTCAAAGATGGATATGAAATGCATTCCTAAAACAAGCTTTGCATGAGTGTAAATGATTTCGACATTTCTTTCAAAACTAAGTCAAGACAAAGCAAAACATGTGCTAGGAGTTAAAACACTGTTTCTCATCTCGGGAAACATACTGGGTACCAACCAGGTCTTGGCCGAGGTCCCACACCTCTTGGCCGAGGTATGGTTTCCTAGGCCTAGGTGCGCATCTAGGCAAGAGTGGGTCTCGGTGACCACACTTAGGGAAAGGTGAAGTCTGGAAAATCTGGGTTTCCTTTTGAAGAACATGAAGAACATAAAGGACAAGAACATGAAGAACATGAATGCGAAAATCATAACTTCTTTATTCAAAACCTGAGATTTCATGAGATGAGTTCGAAAACATGGAACTGGGTACCCATACTTGAAGATCTTATGAAAACAACACAAAACATGGATCTTGATACAAACTTTCGGATCAAAACATGATTTTATTTCAAGAACACAAGAACATCATTTTCTCTTTTTAAAACAAGCTTTAAATCAATGCATGGCTCATGAATCATGCTAGATCATGCAATGTGGTTAGATTAACATAAAGAACAACAAAAGTAGATCAATAATCTAACCTCAAAACACGGATCAAACAGTTCAAGGTGTGCAGATCAAGCTTGGAATCAAGCTCTCTCACTCTAAGAACTTCTCCCTCTTCCCTAGAGCTTCTCTCTCTTCCTAGGACAAAGATATGACAAATGATGTAGGTTTTCTCTCTCTGCCAACTGACTTAACCCTCTGCTGGGACATGTGGCAACGATTGGTTGGCTCTCTTAAAAAAGTTGACAGAATGACAAGACAAGAGTATGACAAAGTGTGTACAACAAGCAAGGTGACAAGGGCACTCTAACAAGGTAAAGACCTCGGGTCAAGACATAGGCTTCGGCAAGTAAGGTCTCAATGATCTCGGTTAGGAAAGATAACACTTGGCCCAGCTGTGCCACACCTCGGCCTAGATATGCCACACCTCGGTCTAGGTCATACCAGTCCCGGAACAAGATCATTAGGTGCAGGGATCAAAGATCTAGGACGCCTAGATGATAACATCTCGGCCTAGATGATGACATCTCAGCCAAGATGCCAAGGTAAAGGTGGAGGTCAACCAGAGTGGTTCTAAGATGGTCCTAGGTGTAAGGGGTTCAAAGGTGTGACCTAGGCTTAAGATGATCTCGGCTTAACACGCACCAAGCAAGGAACAAAGC